TGGGGGGGGGGGGGGGGGTGAGGGAGACACTGTGGACAAACCAACACACATGTCGCCAGTCTCCATTCGCCACTATCGGCACCAAGAGTCGAAGCATCCATCCAAGTGGCGGAGGAAGAGTAGACAACGCCCATCGCAGCACACCGATCACTTGCCTCCAGCATCGCCTTCGAGTGGGTATTCCATTCAGTGCTACACCTGCTGTGCCTTCTGTGCATGGTTTTCAGTTTGCAGGCGTGGACAAACACCGCCCTCGCACCCAGATCCGATGGAAAAAAAACCACAATAGTGGAGTGTCGGCAGTCGTAATTGCCCTCTATATTCCAGGCCGGAGAAAACGCCATCACGCGTTGCTCGCTGGGTTTTCGGCACGCCGTGGCGAGCCCAAGGAACTCCTACCCGCCTGACATTGGCCGACGCCCGAGACCATTAGTTGTCCGGAAAACGCCCTGTGACCCTCGCGGTCACGGTTTCTGTCATTGCCATCGGCATTTCCGGTCCTTTCGGCGCAACCGTGGTTGGTCTGCGGTGTTCCATTCCCCACTTACGGGTTTCGAACCGGCCGCAGACAGACACGAGGCACACCCGAATATCGCACCCTACAGTTCCGGTTGCGATTCCAGGTCGCCTTTCTCTGTGACAAGACACACCCTCACTGCCGTCCCGCACCAAGCATCTCGCCAAGCCGTCCCACTCGCACATGAAACAAAAAAACCAACAACACACATACAGCGCAACGCACATGGTATGGCGGGGTGGGGACCCGTTCTCAATCCCTCCGCCGCTCCCGCCGGTGCTGCTGCTGAAAAGGGCGTCCACGTTCGACACGGACCGAGGCTTGCGCGTCGTCGGCGCCGCTTCCCCCCCGTCCCCGCTGCTACCCTCATCTTCTGGTGAGGCTTCATGTTCATCATGGTGCTGGTTCTCCCTAGAATTCCGAGGTTTCCCTCCGCCCCGGCTGCTTGCCCCGCCACTCGCACCAGCGGTTCTCTCTAGCTCCAGCTCCGTCAGGGAGCGGGAGCGCATCTGCCCGTCGCGGACGTTCCTTTGGCCGCGGTCGACGGGCGATCTCGAGTTTACTCTTCAACAACATTAACGTGGCCAAATGAAAGGCAAGTCATCACAACAGGGCGCAGGCAGGCGAGGGGGGTGTACTCATAGTCGTGCATGCCGTAGTCGTTAGACCATTGGCCTCGCATCTTTATCACACAACAGGGCGCAGGCGGGGGGTGTCAAAGGCTAAATCAGCGGCAACCAGCAGCTTGATGGCCACACAGTCGAACGCGCCAAATCTCAAGTTTCGAGTGGTAATCCAACAACGTAAAACCTTTAATCACAGGCTCTCGGTGAAAAACCCAGCGATTTCAGTTAATTTTCCCCATCTTCCACTCGGAATTACGCCTGAAAGAAAAACACTCTGCCCATTTAAGACGCGCCAAGGACTGTCATCCCCCCCCCCCGGCGATGATAGTTTGTAAGAGAGCAGTGAAGTGGTGGGACGAAGAAATCAAGCAAGCAATTCGAGTACGTAGAGAGTCACACGCAAAATATGCGGCAGGGAAAACAGATGCAGGATGGAAGGAGTATGTTGAAAGTAGAAAGAGGGTGAAGGAGTTGGTCGTGAAGAAGAAGAAAGGGTTGTGGGAGGAAGTAGTCCAAAAGACTAACGAAGATTTTGAGGGGGGGATGAAGCAAATGTGGGTAGGAATTCAAGGGATAGTGGGCAACAAAAGAGGGGGAGACACGGAAATAACGACACTAAGATCTGCCGAGGGTAAGATGGTAAGCAGTTCTAAAGGAAAGAGGGAAGTACTAGTAGAGCACTACCGCAAACTTGGGACACCCACCACCAACGACAACTTCGACTCGGAGTTTGAGAAGGAAATCAACTCGTGGGCAGAGGAAAACGTTGAAAGATCTCAGAGGGAACGTAGTGATGTAGACGGGTTGCAGGGAGAGTTCACACGAGAAGAGGTAGAGGACTGCGTAGCGAAACTCAAGAATAGAAAAGCGGCAGGGGCTGATGGAATTGTGAACGAGCTTTTGAAACAGGGGGGGGAGGGGATGATTAACATGTTGGTCCGGATATTCAACTGGATATGGAAACACGAGTACGCGCCGAAGAGATGGAGAGAAGGAGTAGTCGTGAACCTGTTCAAAAAGGGGGATAAAGCTGACCCGGGGAATTATAGAGGGATAACCCTGTTGAGCACAGTGGGGAAACTGTTTGGCAAGATGATAGACAATAGAATGGGAGACATGTTGGAGGGGAAACAAAAGATCAGCGAAGGACAAGCTGGATTTAGACCAGATCGTAGTTGTGTAGACCATGTATATACGTTGAGTAAAATCATCCAAGGTAGGAAAGACGCCGGGCGTACGACATACTGTTTCTTCCTCGATATACAAAAAGCCTACGACACCGTATGGCGCAATGGATTGTGGAAAAAGATGTGGGACATCGGCATCCGGGGGAAAATGTGGAGGATGTTGAAAAAGATGACAGAATGCACAAGAAGTGCGGTGATGTTGGATGGGGAAATTTCGAAGTACGTGGATATACTCCAAGGAGTCGCACAGGGCTGTACGATGTCACCCACTCTCTTTAAGATTTACATCAACGATTTGATAAGGGCGGTTGAAGCAGTAAGACAGGGAGTCCAAGTAGAGGGAAAGAGTGTGTCCGGACTGATGTTTGCAGATGATTTCGTGGGGGTATCCGAAACACCAGAAGGGTTGCAAGAACAAATAGATGCGGCGGTAGGATACACCCGAAAATGGAGACTGTCGGCGAACGTAGGAAAATGCGCAGTAGTGGTCTGTAACGAAGATAAGAAAAATCCCGTAGAATTCAAATGGAAATGGGGGGAGGAAGAACTACCGGTAGTAGACAAGTATACGTACCTGGGAGTAGAGATTTCGAAGGAGTGCTCATGGGACGCACACATAGCGAAGTTGATTGGGAAGGGTAAAGCTCAGATAGGCAAGATGGATGAGATCCTTACGGACCCACACCTAGACACTAGGATTAAGAGGTGTATTCTCTTGAAGGTGATTGTACCTAAGCTAGAGTATGCAGGAGAGATATGGGAAGGTAACGAAAAGGCCGTCAAGCAGCTGGAAACGGTGCAGATGGCAGCGGCCAAGAAAATACTAGGATGTTCAAGCACAACGAGCAACACTGTATTGAGAGCAGAATTGGGAATGTACTCTCTTAAAACAAAGAGAGACATGCAGAAGTTGAAGTGGCAGTACAAGGTAAGTAGAATGTCGGACGATAGACTACCAGCCATGGTTGACGAGGCAGCTTGGGGAAAAGCGACTCCAGGGAAGAAGGGAATCAGATGGGACAAGGTGGTAGAGAAGGTTTGGAAGGAGATAGGAGACGAGGAGGAGACGTTGGACACGGAAGGGTTCGGGGGGTTCAAGACGAAAGTCAAGGAGATGCTAGAGAGTAGGGAGGAGACAACCCTTCGGAAGAAGGTACGAAGCGAAGACCACTTGGAGATATACGGGAAGTTGAAAGAAGGGATAGGGATGAAGAAGTACTTGGACGGCCCCATGGACTATGCGAAAAAGCTGAAATTGCAATTTCGAGTAGGCGATCTGGACTTGCCAGAACGGAGGAAGAGGTATACCAGCCGTAGGAGAGAGGAAGAGGAGGATAGACACACATGTCCATGTGGCAAATCGGAGGAGAGTAGACCCCACATAGTTGGGGAGTGTGAGTTGTACAGGAAGGAAAGAGAGGATCTCGAGGAGGAAATGAGACAGAGAGGGTGTGACATGGACAAGTTTGGTAAATTAGACAACAGCGAAAAAACGATCGCGATAATTGGGGATAGATGGTGGGCACAAGAGGCCCTAGAGGACGGGGATAAGATGTGCAAGAAATTTTTATGGAGTTTGTGGCAGAAACGTAAAGAGCTCCCAAATGTTGGTGGTGTCTCTAGTAGGTGTAGGAACGGTGCTCCGTCTCGAAAGGGACGCGTGGTCAATGGTCAAATGACTACGGCAAGCAACAAATGAGTACGCCCCCCCCCCCATCGCCGGGCGCGCCTGTCTAGCAACAACTTCATCCCCACGCATCGCGCTCGCGTGCACAAGCCACACCGGACAGAAATACAGACCCACCTTTGCTTCTGTTCCTGCTTGGCCTTCTTGTTGGACGCCGCTTTCAGCTTAGCCAGGGCCTTTTCCACCGTCACTCCGTTCGCCAGCGACACCCGCAACCCCCCCCGCCAACTTTTCCTATCGGTAAGCTCGTTCACAGCCTTCCCGGGTCGCGATGAGGGGGGGGGAAGACGAGGGGACGCAGGCAAGAGAAGCGCGTGCATTCAAGGCCGAACACATACCGACGCCATCGCCTGTCGCGCGAGAGACAACTCGACACATCACCTGCGACCCGTTGCGCTTATGCACGAGAGGACACTCCAAACTTTCAGATTAGACAAGGGTAGAAGGCTTTGCTAGTTGAAGAAGGCATTACAGCAGCCGTATCTCACGTGTGAATTGTTGTTCGTGATATATGTGTGGGAATAGGGCATCGTCGTCGACATGGCACATGCTGCTCGGATTAAAGGACATCTCCACATGCCTCTTTGTTGTTGTGGATGCCAAGTCACGTGATGCCCGGTGCTACCTATCGTCTGTGCTACCTACACGTACACGGTGTTCTTGTGATACTTGTTTCGCCTGGCTCGCGCATCATCGCGGGCTAGGTTATCAAGACAGAAAAAAGGGGCGTGAGAGGACCAACCACACCGCTACAACAAGCACAGCACCACCACAAAAAAAAGTATAGCAATCAATCTCACCCTGATGGCCTCTTCCAGGGTGGAGAATTGGCAGGTCGCGTATAGATCTCGGTTCGGTCCCGCCGGCGCCTGAATTCCTGAGCTCCTACTGTCGTACGAGAGAGGAAGTGAACGTGTGCATGTGAGAGAGAGATTGAGATACAGAAAAGAGAGAGAGAGATGGCGGGGGGAGTACACAACAATGGTCAAGGATAGGCGGCGGTAATTGAAACAGTCTTGCGAGAACACGGACACAAAATTCTTCTAGAGGGTTGTGTCGTGCACGTATATACTCTCATCAGCATACGATAGCACCAGGAGCATCCACTTGAAAGACTCAAAAGCGTGGCGTTGCACGCCGGGAAAAAAAAAACATGGCGACAGCAGTGCGAAGTCGACATAGTCTGGCCACGAGCGAAAAACCGCATCCCATTTTAACCGCTACCCATCAACCACTAAGGGCACGAAAAAAATAGGGAGGAGTCGTCACCACGGCGTCTGGGCAATGACTACAGTGGCCGGCAAGTCCTGCGTCAACCCTGCCGTCCTCTGTTGTCTCACTTGTCAGTCTTGGTCGTCCCCGCCGTCTTGCTCTTGTGGATCACGCGGATCAGCTCCGCCACCCCACAGGACGAAAAGAAAGGCGTTAGGGACTCCACCGTCGACTCCGCGGGAATATTCACGGCCTGCGATGTCGCGAAAGCGTGGGCAGCAGGGTTGGTTTTCAACGCGTGCATATAAAGCGAGAACGAGCACCCAGATGAAGAGAGACCCCGACAGGGCGCAGAGATGCATCCACGCCCTTTCCGCCTGAAGACTACAACAGCGACCAACCACGGCGGATAGGAACCATTCCAAGTCCTCCCTGGGCCTGCAGAAGGATCACCGCTGTTGTTCTGATGATGGACTCTAACAATGCACAAGCAACCTACGGAAGATATCACACCCAAACGACATACGACACCCCCCGCACAATACAGCAACCGGTGATAGTTTCAAAAAAAGCCAAAAGGTTATCCCCGGGGTGTGTTACGTCGTGTCGAGTAAGGTGAATGCATGCCACTCTTGGAAACGACGTGGTACGATTGAGGATAAAGGCCCTGCTGTTTGGACGACCCTTGAGTTTGTCGGCACCCCCCCCCCCCCCCCCCTCTCTTGTCTTGCTGTGCCTCTCACCACAACTGTACGGGAGGTGACGTCAGCCCTGCCGTCCTTGTCCGGAAACTTGAAAGGCGTCTGCGGGAGGAGGACGACACACGGGTACATATTTGTAGGCAAAACCGAAGAAAACCCGGCTGAGAACCGCCTCTCTCGGCAAAACCTGTTCCGTGCATGGAACAGCAGCAGTGCAACACTGGAAACCCTGGCTCGAAAACCAGAACGAAATTCGAACGCCACACAGCTGACAACGACGAGGAAGAAAGCAGGGGTTCCTTAGCAAGCGCGAAAAATCACAAAGGTTAGCAAGACAAGAGCCAGCAGTACAGCCACGGCAGAAAACTCCATCTTGTCGCCCGCCTCGCTGCCCCACGATGCAGTCATACCTTACGCCTTACGCGGGTCGCCTTAGCCACCACCAGAGCCTGGGAGTCCTCCAGGGCTAGAGCAATCGCGCGAATGTCCTTCGACATCTTCTTCACCTTCGGGAAGCTACAGATCACCTTGAGCGGCACCCAGCCTGTGTTACCCCCCCAGGCCAAGAACCAAAAAGCGAATAGTGGAGGAGGAGGGGCGAAGAAGCTATAGCTTCGAAATCTGTTCTTGGTGTGCCAAGCAAGAACGTAGCCCGGGCCCTTGCGCGAAAGCGACGGCACTGCTGCACCGCTGTAACAATTAAGTAGCGCTTCCTACCGGACGGCGTGGCAAGGAAAATCTTTACAAAAGTCTTCCGTGTGGCGTCACGGTTTGTGGGCCACTTTCCCAGGTCGAGAGTCTCCTAGTCGGCTAGAGAGAGATGCGGTACATAGAAAAACGCCTTCCTGTTATCTGCCGAACACCTGAAGGCGGCTCGGAATGCCCGTGATGGCTATAGACTCGGGGTTCGAGTCTCTTAGGTTTTGCTGGGGGCGGGAAGAAGTCGGCGAAGAGCTCACTTGGTGGGGACCCTAGCAGGAGCGAAATAGCCAACGACACGGTTGGTTTTCGCTACGGAGCCTCTTTTTGCAGTCCCCAAACCATGAATCATCGCAGCAATACTACTGCTGAACCGCAAGGTACAGGACCCGTGATAGCACCTACCCTGGCACGTGCGTCTACATCAGATTTATCCACCACAGCGAGCTTCCATCGAACCCGAACCCTTTGCCAAAACTGCTGCAGGGTGTCAAAAGACAACTCTGTCATGGACACGCTTTCCCACAAGCCTCAGCAGCACCTCTTCCGCCATACAAAATATTAGGCGGACAAGAGGCAATCAACCCTGATGGTGCGAGGCATGCCGCGACCGACATGTATGTAGACAGCGTTCTTACCTTGCGCCCCGCCGGCCTTAACTTTTTTCTTCATGAAGGCGTCCGTGGGCAGGTTCTCGTCGCTGAAGTAAAACTCCACCTGCTTCACCAGAGCTGCCTTTGTATCCTCGGGCAGTTCTTCCACAGGTGGTGCTACTGTTAGGGGGAGAGTTGTACAAGAGAGGGCGTGCAGAGATACGCAAGGTAGAGAGGCAGTCAGAGAGGGAAGCGCGATGCGTCGTGGGAGGGCCTAGGGTTGTAGCACCTGGAGAGGACACCTGGAGGGGGGCGGAAACCAACGGCACCACCACCAACTTTGCAAAACCGCGCACAAGCACAAAGAGGCGAAAACACGACGCGGTGAAAGTAGTGTTTCACACGCAAACTATTTGGTGGGGAGGTGCCAGACGACCCGAACAGCCTGTCAATCGACCCAATAGTCTGGGGAGCCATCAACCATTGTGCGAAGGGCAAAAAAGACTTGTTAGGATACGTTATCTAAAGTATATGAATACGAGGCCTTTAGACGCTCTGTCGACAGTGGTACCGCAGCACCGTCTTTCCAAACCTTCAGCAGTATCCTCTTTCCCGCTCGTTTCGTCGGAGCTCACTACCGCGGCGGAGGAGGCCACGGCCGCCGGGGGCGCCAGACCATTCTCCCCGTCTTCAACGACAACGGGACCCGACGCCTCCTCGGATGCCGGAGCAGCCACAGTCTCCGTGTCCAGGGGCCTGCGAAAAGAAGCAGGTTCGTGTGTCTCCGACAGTACTTCAGGACGGAGTAACTGCAAGCTGCGACGCGCCGAGAGGTTGACATTATGTTTCCCCACGCGACTCGAGACCTACTGCTGTATGTAGTGGTGAACACTATTATATCACAAAATCAGTATGTACCCCAATCTTCAAAAACTTCGGTTCATCGTAGAGAGGTAGAAATACCACCTGGACGACTCCGGCTACAACACGTCTATTGGCAGTTTCGCACCGTTCGACATGAGATACCATGAACCACGGAGCATCTCAGGTCACACAAACATGACTTGGTGTCCACTACCTCTGCCTGCGGTCCCTTCGACCGCTGCGTGCTTGACAGCTGACGATACAACCATAATATACTCTGGAGTACTGTGTATCAGAACAAGAAAGAAAAAAAAAATGGGTGAGACATGACTCCTATGAAGTGGAGAGTGCGCCCGAGGGATTTCACGTTGTCCAGCAGCAGAGGTAACCTATCTTGGTCAGAGCACCAACAGCTTGCTGTCGCAGATGTGCAGCTCGTCGTCGTCGTTGGTGAATATCTCATACACGATACGATGTACCATCCCTCTCGTCCCTCCGCGCTCTCGCCAAAGTGTACATGGTGGTGTAGTGTAGCACATATTCGTTGGCAGGCCTGCTGTGTAATGGCATTAATATGCGTACACACTCGCCAAACCAGCAGGGCCGAAACGACCCATCCATACAGCCCACGCAGAGTGAGATGCTACGGAGACTGTGCCTGAGCATGGCACCAGAGCCGCCATATCCACACTCGCGATGGGGCTTGGGAACACCTCGGTCCGCGGACCAAAACGCCAAGCACATCTGGCAGACTAGAGATCCAGCCAAGAGGTTCGTGTGTTGTTGTCGAAACGACCGGGAGTGATAAACAGCAGTTGTCACTCACATCTTCGCTGAAGAGGCCACCACCGGCTCCGGAGAGGGGGGTACCACGACGGCGGTGTCATCTCTCACGTCCATGGCGTCGCAAGAGGGCCTCCGGGGAAGGCGGGAAGCAAGGTGCGGATGAGGAGTGACGAGAGGAGAGAGGACGGCCGACCAGCGGTCGCATAAAGGAGCGGCACAACAGCTGAGGATAGAGACAAGAGGCTTTAGCACAAGGCCCTCTGAAAATTGGCATTATGCATCCACGGCCCCCCTCCAAAGGTTGGCGTGACAATTGGTGAGTGCGACAGACACAACAGACAACAGCCAGCAGCGGGCGTGCCACTCTGCTTGCCTTTGAACATGCCTACCGTACGACGGCGATCATTCGCCATCATGGCCTCCGCCTTGTGCGGTGCAGCGGGGTTGACGCGGGTCCAGGGGTTTTGTTTCGTGCCGGCTCTGACCGGCTCCAACGCTCGATGTCATGGCGCTACAGCAGAGCGGCGGGCCACACAGCAAGCGCAACAGGTAGGCAGTAGCGCCGTTTACCTTCACTGCTGCTGGTTCCATCATCTTAACGGCCATCCGAATTCGTGTTCTTTCTCTTCGTGGTCTAGGTGCCGCCATCTCTTCAATTAAGCCCACGACCAGTCCGTGTTGGCCTGTTGGACGTTTGTGCGGTGCTGCTGCTGCACGCAGCTGACCAAAGTTCAACTCCACGCTGCTGTAGTCGTGCAGGCTGGCCGGCTCTTCTACAATGTGACAGACATGTGTGTATGGTAACAGCAGTGCATAGATACATTCGACCTACCGCACTGAAAGGTGAAGAAAATGGTTGCTTTGTGAGCTTGTTGTCATCCCATAACAACGTTAAACATGTCCTTTGCGCTGGGTGCTGTTGCACTTGAAAACAGAGTAGCGACTGACAGTGTAACAGTTGCATACAGAGTCGTGGTCCCGGTTTAGCTGTCCACAGCAGTGCCACAAAATGTTATAGCCGCTACTGAGGCTGTCACCGCTAAACCGGATTGACAGTTATATGTAGTTTGAAAACCGAGGTGCAGCCGTGTCACGAGATTTTGGAACCGCTATTCAGGGCATCCCGCTAAACAGGCAACCGTATAAAACCGGTACAACGAGTGTCGGCATTATTGAACACACCTTCGGGGAAGATGGGACTAAGGAAGATCTCGCAAAGGCGATCAGTGAATGACGAAAACTGCATACATGTAGTACCAGCAGTAGAGCCCCCTTTCGGGAGATTGGTGACTGCCCCCCCCCCGAGGGCGACGCAAGAGGGCATGACCGATATGTTGTCATGCACGTTGACTTGTACTCTCGAATACCTACCTATCGGTTTACAGCAGTTTTCGTCCCGATATAATGCTTGTACGTGGTCATGCCGACTTAGCCGGCACTATGCCGGGCACCTGGCATGTTTTTTTAAGATGGCCCCGATATGATGCCAGACTGGCACGTTTTGCCATTCAGGGGATCGAGAAACCCGGCGCAGTTGGGAAAATCGTTGGAGTTTTGTACGGCGCTGTGTGCTGTTTTGGGACTTGAAGCGGACACACCAGTATCACTTGGTCTCGGCCGACATGGAGAACACCACGTGCACGAATGGGGAATATTGTGTGAAACATGACCCGGTCGAGCATAAGAGGCGCGTGTGTAGGACGGGCGGCGCCCACCACTCGATAAGAAGTTACCGTTCGGGCTGGTGTCTGCACACAAAGTTGTAGATCTGACCACCCATGTACACAGCGCTTCCATATTGTTCAACAGAACAAAAAAATATACAAAACGAAACTTGACACCCCCCGCGACGAAACACCTTCCTAACTTACAAAGCTAAGCCAGGAGCTAAATTACCGGTACAAATAAACACACCCATCTCCTATTTACGTACTTTTCCCGCCTAGACTACGATCTTCACATCAAAACACGAGGCGCCATTCATGGGAAGGCAGGCAGTTGTGTGGGATTTATGTTTTTCCCGGCATTACCCGCAGCGGAGCACTAGTCTGTGTGTGCAGGGCATGCCGTTCATGTTGAATGATGTACCGGCAGCGATTCTGGGCTAAAAGAAAGACATACCCGGCCGATTCCGGCATTATACCGGCACCCGGCATTATTCAACCGGCGTTATATCGGGACCACTACTGTATCTCAACGTTCGGTGGCGCCGGTTGTCGTAGAAGAGTGATTGCAAGCCGCAAAAAGTATGATGTACGCGGGGACACCCGTTTCTTTCCTCGCCGTTTTTTTTGGGTATGCGCGAGTGTGTATGTTGTAGAGGCTAGCGATGTCTTTGCCGCAGATCCTGCTGCTGTAGCCTGCTGCTTTTCCATCGTGTTACTCATGGTGTGTGTGGACGTGTGTGTGATGCGCAGTAGGTAATGTTCCTGTTTTTTTAAGAAAGGTGTTTCTTTTGTCCTGCGAAGCCTTTGGTGGTTCGGAAGGCCTCCCTACGAAATAGAGCCGGTCGAGGCTCCCGTTCGGGGGTTTGGTGGCTTCTCTCCCTAGGGTGACGCGACCAACGTTATCACGGTTGTGTCGCTGCTCCAACACTCGGTAGTGCCTGTTTCCGTACAAACTGCAGAGACGTCATGCGCAGCGAAGCTTGTTTTTTCTCACCATCAGCGACTGCCGTGACCTTTCATGCACTCGTTGGTGTATGTTTGCTTTTTTGCTGCGGGGTCTGTTTTCAGATCCTATCGCTGTCACCCGCTGATGTTGATCGTTTTCTCTAATTTTTCCACCGGGTTGCTCGTGGTATGTGTGGGAATATGTGTTTCTAGCGAACAGGAGTCAACAATGTTTCTGTTCGTTTATGCAAAGATGTTTTGTTCCGGCGAAGGCTGTGTTGGTTCGGAATGCCTCCCGAGAAATAGAGCCAGTCACGGCGACTTAGACGCCGTTTGCTTGTGCCGCAGGATGACTGGCGGTCCTCGAGCACGCGCGGTAATGTACCAACGTGCTTCCCGTTCCTGAGAAGGAAGCGTGAGCACAGATTCGCTTCAGCCGGAGAAAATTGTGTCGAAGCTAAAAAAACCCATACAAATTATTCATAAACAAGTGTAAACGTATCCTGGGCTACAACCCTATCGCCTGTAGTCTACACGTCGATGGCGCCGCTCCGTCCCAGTGCCGGCTGCCGCACAGACACCCGGGTGATCACGTTTCGACTTCTTAGAGCAACATCGCTGGGGTGCTATGTGGGGGGTTGTGGTGTTCCCTACAAGCTGCGCGGATGACAATTGGATTTTCATTTTCATCCGAGCTGGGCAATCGGTTGTGACTGTTGGTGGTAGGGAGGGTGACAAATGGTGTGATTCAATTCTTTCTCAAGATGGCACTGCTGTGGCCCAGTGAGCAGATGCACAAGGGCTAGGGGCCTCGGCAAGTGTTCAGGCTGATTTGTGCGGAAGAGTCATTGTGTGGTGTGGTTCGGGTGTATTTCGAGATCGTGCGGTGATCGGCACAGCAGTGGTGGCGGACAGTGCTCTACGGGTGCTCTTGAAGGTCGCCGCCGCCCTGGTTTTGTTGCCAAGAGCCGGTTGTGAGCTTTTCGGCATTCCTGTCCGAAGATGCCTGTGTCTTCTGCCCGCAGCTCCGTCGCCCCCTTTTAACGGCGCCCCTTCGATGGACGCACACCCCATTGTGATTTTTCGACCTCGTGTTTGTCTTGCTCCTCTCCGCTCACGGCCACTCCCGGTGCTCCACGGTCATTCCTACATCCGGCCGAAGGGGGGAGGTCTAACGATGAGACGCGGCTTAAGCTATAAGGGCAAGAATGGACCGGGCTTGACCAACATCGGGCGAGTTGTCACCACCCGGAAGCGAGTTCTTGAATCCGAGGAACCGTGCAAGGTAAAGTGGGAGCTTCCGCCACGAAAGCTCGACCGTGTTGGGGGTTTTGCCTAGTAGAGTGCGTTTTGGGTGGCCTCATCAGTTTCAGGGACGATCGCCGTAAGGGCCGCAATCGCGTGCGCTGGGGTTGTACTGCGGCTCGTGTTTGCTGGTCGTGTGCTAGCCCACCCCCCATGTACGTATGTTCGACCTCACCCAGTAGATGCACCGAGGTCCATGGTAAGCAAGAGCGTGTTATAGTGGCATGGCATGCCAGCGTCCGGCGCTGTCTGGTGTGTTGGCCCCGACGGAAGGCGTCAGTAACATACTTGATTTTGTCCACGAACGACCGACCCCACTCTGAGTTGTCGTCAGACCCCACAGCAGGATTATGTACTCGCGCTTCATGTACAGCAGCGAGGTAGGATCTGTGGCAATCCCATCAACGACCGAGTTCAGATTACCAACCCTTCGTGACCTGACGGATGTCATCCCAGTTTCGAACACCGCGCTGAATCAATATATCGAGCGCCTTGCTATTAGGAAAGTGGTGTTGAACCGAGTAATTTTCCGTAGGTATTCCCCCTTCCTTACCACACTCAGAGGCGTGGATTGCGTGCCATACATCCAGGGTGGGACATATGTAACCATTGCAAACGAAGAGTCCGCGTCGGACCGCGTCGGGACCACCGGCGTTGCCTTGACCTTGGTTTCGGCAGGCACGCGCCGTGGTTTCAATGTTGTGACGTCCCACTATAGTGCCATCATTCTATCGTTGTTTTTGGCCGATCAGGTGATGATCTCCAACCTGGACTATAGCTTGACCGAGAATGATGTTGCGGAGTTCTGCGGCACCGCCGGTGCCGTCGCCGGCGTCAAGCTCGTCAAGAAGTGGTACGCCAAGACCTCCAAGGGGTGAGTGAGCAAGCGAAAGCACGAGGCAGACGTCATTCGAACCGGCCTGTTTCGAGACAACAAACGCGAAGCGCGTTCGTCACTTGCTTCAGCGCACTAATGCCGTGTTCCACTTCGGTAGGATATCATGCCCTCTGACTCCCAAGTACATCGGGTGCTTCTTCATTGAGGGAGGTCTGTTCCAGTTTTTCGAGTATGCACAGTACGGTGCCCACGTTCGCGAGCTCAAATCAGCTCTCCTCTTTGTACTGTTGTGAGACGGGGTACGGATACTTGTTTGCTCTGTTCCTTGGAAGAACTACTCGTTACGAACCACGCACGAAGGGCGGGGGACCCATCTCCATACCTGCCTTTTGCGCGATAATTCCGTCTCGATCATTGACCAAGGTACGGGTTCGTCGACTTCGACCAGCCGCTGACGGCAACGATCGCCATCGAGACACTTAACGGGAAAGAGCTCAATGGCCGCGTGGTGGAACTCAAGCCGGCGATCACAAGCCGGGAGAAGCGGAGGAAGCAGGCCCTGCGAGATTGGGAGCAGAGGTGCCTGGAGGAGGACAGACGAGTCGAGCAGGGCTATCCGAGGCGAGAGGTGCCGTTGCCGGAGAAGAAGAAGATGGCGGACTTCGGGGTCACCGTAGACGAGTTCCTTGAGATAGTCGGGCGAACCAACAGCCGCACCGCGAAAAAGCAACCAAAGTACGCGGAGGAGATTGGGTACGACGACGACGACGACGATGACGACGACGCGGACTTGTTCTGAGGTTTGTTCTGAGGTAGTCTGGCTGCTGGGATATGGCGACGACAAGCCCGTAGATATCGTTTTTGTCTTTTTGCGTATTTCGGGACAGGGGTTTCGGGCTCTTTAGCAGCGGCCTCGGGGGTCCGAGAGATACGTTTCTCCAATTGCGGCCCGAATGGAGATCCAAGACATGAAGCGAACTTCGGTCCCTTGGTTCAACCAAGCCGCGGCCGACCGTCATGTGGTACGATTCGGCACGACGGAGTGTGGATGACCGTGCCCGGCGTGACAGAAAGGATGTATGTTTCGATCTTGTTCGGACACTCGTTTCGTGTTTTACAGTTGGACGTGCGATGACATGGTTGTGCCTCCTGCGGGTACTGTATCAACTTGTCGTTGTGTACCCGGTGTGTGGCGCTAGCCGCCATGAAGCCTCAGCAGGGCTATGAGCTCTAGAGTGGGTCGCCGCTGTCTGGATAACTGGGTTCAGTGTGGAGCCTCGTAACTCTTGTTGCTCCCAACATGACTCTTGCCGTTTCAAACCCGGGCAACATATGCATATGCTTGTGCAATGTCTGGGTCTGGAAATGGCGGGCTTGTACCCAAGTATGCAGTACTTGTACCCAAGTCTGGTGGGGATTCGTTCGCGGTTCACAAGTGGTTCAGGGCCTTGTGAGGCGAATTCTGGTCCCAAGGTGTTTGGCGAAGAACACGATCCCCGAAGGCCGGCCGTAAAGGACGGGCGGTCCTTGCGATCGTTTGAAAGGCATTGACAGGGATCCACAATTGGGCGATGTCGTCGGTCCTTGACGATGTTTTTGCCCCCTATGGGTTGTCTGGTTTGATCAAGACTCAATCTTTCTTTTTCCCATGTTGTGGCCACGCGCGGAAACCATCCCCGCGTTCCTCGTGATCGCGATGGCGACTGGACAGCTACCAAAGTAGCGCATGACAGAACTACTCCTCCTGTCGTTCGTGCCGGCACAAGGGCATCGTTAGGCGGCGGAGTTGTGTTGGGCGCGATCCAAACGAGTGTGCATCCGCTACAGTAGTCGGCCCAAACGACAGCACGCGGCTGCCACACCAGCGATGGTCGCACTGTTCGAGAGGAATATAGAGGTTCGCCCAGAATTTTCAAAGGTGCAGCACCATAGTGGCTCACCACACGTATGTCAGTCTGTCGCTTTTCACGAGTAAAGCAGCGCCGTAGAGCCGCAATCAAGCAACATTACATTGTTATTCTGAAGCTTCAGTCTCATATTTCAATATCCGTGGGTGGGTGGGACTTTTATTCGCATGCCCCACCCCTTGCCCGACCCTGCCTCAAATGCCGATCTCGAGCTACAGTGTAAATCTCGTGGCGCCTGGAGTATGGTTCGGTGTGGAATCGCAAACCATGAGCCGCCCCCGAGTTTGAGCAGCTTCCGCCTCCTGTGGCCGGCAAGAGTTGACCTTGACTGTTCCTTGCCCTGTTTCGCCATGAGAACGGCCGGTTGAACAACGATAGAGGGTCCTGCGTGCTGCGCGCCACACTCTATATTTATTTATTTTTTGCGTTTGTTCTTGAGTGACCACTGTACACATGCGGCTGCTGCTGGGGTTGCTGCTGTTATGCTCGGAATGTGCTGCAATGGTCGTACGGTTATCGTAGTCAGGTTTGACAACAGTCTGCTCGTTCGTATAGCGGTAGCGGTGCGCATCTATCGCGACGGCAAGCAAGCGCATTGAGATAGTTCGTCCGTCGTGCTTCTAGTCTACACCTGATAGGCGTGTTCTTCTTTGTTGCCACTTCATACCAGAAAAGAAAGAAGGTCTCCACCAACTTACAGCATCTCCTACAGCAGTTCGGAAACGACGACTAGACTATTTTTCTTTTGTGGTTTTTGTTGTTGCTGAGCGCACATCGGGTGTCGCCGTTCGTTACACGTGTTCAAGCCTGCGGTGGGCCAGAGGGATGAGAGTGGGTGTCTTCTCTAGAGTTCATGCCTTGTCTTCTCGAGTCTCCCTTCCTTTAGTCTACCTCTCTCTCTCTCTGTTGCATTTTCGCCGTTAGGGTCCCAATAACATCGAACGTCAACGGCAATCGTTTTGCATCTTGCTGAGTAGGAGGCTACACGTGTACCCGGTTGCTGCATGTGAGGCGATGGGCGCCGCCTCTTTCCGTCAAGCAATGCACATGGCCCCTACGGTTCGCCGCACATGCAGTGCTGTGTATCAGCTTCCAGCGGTTCAGAGCGGCGACGATGTTTGTCGCCGGTAGGGCCCCAGAACAACGCGAACCGCGATTGTTTCATTGTTTTGGGGTCCCCCACTCACCCAACCCACCCATCCATGAATTTTGTTTTTTTTTGTGTTTCCCTGCTGACTAACAACCTCGGCTACTACTGCAGTGCAAATTTCATGGCGCCTCAAGTACGGTTCCGTAGGGAATTGCAAATCACGACCCCTCCCCGACTTTGAGTATAGCTTCAACCTCCTGCGGCGGATAAGACCGACGTCAAACCCTAGATTTTGTCTGTCTGTGTCGCCATGTGGCCATCCACGAACAGCAAGCAGTTGGAGAGTCACAATAAAGAGGGTCCGCTTCGCCACCAAGAAGACAGTTTTTTTTTTCGATTCTTCTACAGCTGGATAGCTGGATATGATGCTACCATGTATCTATCGGGTATAGCTGTGTGGTTGAGCTTGAGGGATAGGGTCTGTCTACGGCAGCATAATATTCTGTGCGAGGAGTTAACACCTTCCTCGCGTAACGATGCGCATCTCCCACGGCAAGCAGAATGAAGTACATCATCATGACGCTATTTCTTGTGACTACAAGTTCAAGTTCGCCCGGGCGTTATTGTTCTTACCGGAGAGAGAGACTAAACTTCTACTACAATACGTACCAGTTCGTGTACCCAGGTATGCATGTTGTGAGGTAGTGGGTGCTGCCCCTGCTGTTTGCTGCGGTACGTGGAAAGCTTCCGGTGGGTCAGAGCGGCAAGGGGGCCTTGTTTCTTCACTTGTTTCTTAGCTCTGCTCTCCTCTACTTCTTTGTTTCCTGTCGCTGGCGGTCTCTCTTTTTTTATCGTCCTTCGTTCTTGCTTGCAAGAAACTGTGAGGATGTAAACTGGCTGAGTCTGGCTGTTTCTTAGGGTCCCCCGCCCACCCACGACACACCTGTCGGTTTGATTCGTGGTCTCCAATATTTTCAGCAGTAGTTAGTTGTTTAGTCAGGACATGCGCTACTACTGCTGCTGCGTCCGTCCATGGGTGGGTGCAACCGAAGAGCCCCGGGGACTGGTGGCCTTCTGACCTGATCGCAGAGAGAGGTTCTTGCCACTACCACAATACGACTCTTACTGAATGTCCATGACGGGGAACACGTACTACGCCTCTCTTCTCTTTTCTTTTTTCCCTCTCTCCCGTCCGTTTCTTTCGTTTCGGAGAGGAAACCTACTACACTGTGAAAAGCGCATCTTCTGGGGTCCGCATTCATATACAGTCCCGGATTCTTTCCCAGCGTGCGGAGAGCGCGTTCTGGTGTGGTCTCCTTTTCATTCGGGTGTGACGTGCGTACTACATGTATGTATGTAAACGACAGAAAAAGATCAACGAGATGATTGGCGGCATTCTTGAAAGCATGGAGTCCCTCGGCACCAAAAAGTGCATGCGCATGGATGGGCGTAGTGAGAAGTGCCGGTCGAAGACTGACGGCTTTTTCGGGGGCGCGCGAGGTCGCCTCTATTATTCTTTTTCTTTTTTCTTTATTGTCCAGCCTATGGCTACTACCTCGCATAGCGTATTGAAGCAAGCGGGGGGTCCTGGACTAATCTGTCGTTGACTTGCGGACCCTTCTTCGGGTCAATTTCATTTTCGTGTAACTTTTTTGGGTAAGTTAGCCTGTGACCACGGCGGGGATCGACCGCGTCATTTGTCAGACTATCATACATACTAGTACGGACAGACGAAGAAGGTACTGGGTAGAGAGAGCGAACGAACGGGATTGATTGTAATTGATTGTGAAGACAACAATAATAACGGAACTGCTGGGTTCGTCCATGGATAGTTTTTGCAGCACTTGTGAGGTATTAGCGTACAACACGACTTCTTCATTATGTTTTTTTTTTTTTTTTCACTTCAAATCAGCGCTCACAGCACTATATAATAGTAGTGCCGTTTACTCCAACCCGTGGTCACACAGAAGAGCCTCTCTCTACCCTCCCCTCCTGCGGTACTTTGCCTTCGATTTTTAATGAGAGAAGAGTTCAGCACTCTCTTCCCTCTGTGTACACACGAACTAGCGCTATCCACTAGGGTAGAAGCGGAAGCGAGAGAAAAACTCACTTTGCAATAAAATCTCGCTTACGCCGGGATTCGAACCCCTGACCTGACCTTTAGAAGGTTTCGAGGATACCAACCAGACCACCACCGGGGCGACCGGCATATATATATGTATGGGTATAATGAGAGGTTTCAGTTCAACTACTAAATAAATACAATAACAACTTACTGGAGTATGGAGGGTGCTCCTTGTTCTTATGCATGGCATGTACCGGCATAGGTGACATAACATATCGCATCATCGATATTCACAGCTAATAATGTTAGTCCACGACGACGAGGATGCCAAACGATAGGTTTGTTTCGGAAAGCTATCGGTGCCAACGCCGCCCGGCCACGCCACGCTTTCTGGTGTGGAGTAATCGAGCTTTGAAAATTAAAAAAAAATGTTCAGGGGGTGTGACATCTTATGTCATCTACTCTGTGTACAGAACTCTTTGTCGTGCTCGGTGGGCGAGCGTGTCGCGGTGTGCGCCCTCGACTTCATTGACCGCTAAAATACTGGAAAGCTTCAGACAGGCAACGCGACGATACTCGTCGAGTTGCTATCACAATGCCGTAATGGCTTTCCACACGTGTGAGGCAGTCATTTCCGGCGACAGGCAGGCATGTTTCAACGATTCAGACGATCGGAAAACGACACGTCGCACCATTGAGCCTGACACCAGAGTGCCATGGAGCACTCCAGTGACGATGCGGTCATTGTGGAAATGCAAGACCGTCTTGCGGAATGGGATATTGTTGGGTGTTTTGAGTTGGATGGACGTTGTGTGTAATACTACATACATCACAATGTTGACGCCCATTTAGGTGATTTTTGTTGCAAACACCAACAACACAGCAGTGCACCATTTTGGCGACACTTCCTGCCTCTCAAACCAACGTCACTTTTGTTCCATCGACGTTCATGAGCTCTGTGCATTAGATTACATGGGAAACGAGATGTGGAAAGGATGTGGCTAGGTGTCGCTGAAACACAAAGAAATGGTGTACAAGTACATACCAGACAGGCACCGGACGACCGGAAAGAATAACATTGACGCCGCTGCACTTCAACAGAGGAACTCGTCCGTCGTTTCACGTTGCAAGGAGTGAAATACGGTAGTGCGACGCACACATTCATTCCCTTCGCTCTCTTTTCGACGACCCACGTCGGATCCCTTGCCGGCAGCACACCAACAACGTTTGGACGAACCCCGCGTATGATAATGTAACATGTGCGTACAATCACGACGGGGTACACAAGGTTATTCCCGTGTATCTACACTCCAGTGTACGTTTC